ATTTATCCATCTAGCTACAGTCACTCTCCAGAGGGCCAGCCCTTCATCATCAACTGCTTTTTGGACATCCTCAATGGGATGTCCACAGGCATCTCAAACTGACTATGCTCAAACAAAACTCATTCCTCTTCTGAGCTTCCTTATTTCTTTCAAGGGCAGCAACCTCATTCCAGGCTCTCATGTTTGAAATCTCAACTCCTCACTATCTCTCACCCTACATATAGCATCAGCTATCAAATCTTGCTGTTTCTGTCTCAACAACACCTCTCCAAACTGTGCCTTGCTCATTATTCACACAGTCACCATCTAAATTCAGGCTCTCATCACCTCTTACCTGGAGTATTGCAAAAGACCCCTAATTAGTCTCACAGACCCAAGTCTTTGCCCTACTCGAAAACATTCTCCACAAAGCTGATCTTGCATACGTGCAGGTCTTATACTGTTACTACCCCCCTCAACAAATTCTAGTGGCTCCCTATCACCTTTAGGATTAAATATTAACTCTTCTGTTTGGCATTTAAAGCCCTTTACAACCTGGCCCAACCTATCTTGCCAGCTTCATTAACCAATCTAGCCAAACTAGGCTTCCTGCTGTTTTCCACATGACCCTCCTTCTCCCATTTCTAAGATAATGCACTGGCCATCCACCATGCCTGGAATGTACTCTCTCCTCAGATACACTTGGCAGAAATCCCTTCCTTCTTTCAAGATTCAGCTCAAGGGCCACCTCTACATGAAACCTCTCCCAATTCCCCAGCTGCTACTGGCATTCCTCCCTAAACTACCTTTGATGATTCTATATATACTTCTATACGTACATGTTGCCCTCCCCACTAATGTAAGCTCCTTGCGGGCAGAGGTTGTTTCACTTTTGCCTTGTATCCCCAGCACCTAGCACAGTACTTGGTACACAGCAGACACTTAATTAACGTTTGTCATTTTTAGTGCATAATAATGCATTATATTCATATATTCAAATACCATAATTTGTTCCACTATTGTCCAATGAACGGGCACTCGCCTTGTATCTGGTTCTATGCTATTACAAAAAAGTGTTGCTACTGTAAGTATTTTGGTACATATTGGATCTCTCAGTCTTTGACCTCCTTGGGGTATATGTCCAGTAACAGAATTTCTGCATCAACAGTATCCTTGAATAATTCCAAATCATTTTCCAGAATGGCTGTATTCACACTTCTTCCCACAGTCCTCCAACATGGACTATTTCCCTTTTCATCTCTATCAATTTATCAGATATGACACAAGACCTCAGAGATGTTTTAATTTGCATTTCTCTGTAATGATTTTGTGAATGTTGAAGAGTGCAATTTTTCTTTTGAAAATTGTTTGAGCTTTAATTTCATATCCTATGCAGCCAACCATTTAAGTCATCTCACCATCTGCCTGCCACTGCCCCACCTAGAACAAGACCCTCACACTGGACCTGAGACCTGGACTAGGTCATTCAGAACACATGGCCCAATCCCTGGGGAAGTTAATCCACTCATTGCACTCACTGCCACTTTTTCTACATGCTGGCTCTATACACTGGGGCATGTCTTGGTTTCATATTCATAGCCCGTTAAGCTAACCCCCCACACTATCTCACCATCTGCCCCCCACTTCCAACTTTCACTTCCTCAAAATAATAGTTGTCATCCTCTATTAGAATGTAAGCACCTTGAAGGCAGGGACTTTGTCTCTATTTTTAAAAATATTTATCCTTAACCCTTACCATAGTTCTTGGAATACAGTAAGTACTTAACAAAATATTGTTTCACTCTTTCACATACTTTGACTGGGGAATGACTCCTGGTCTTATATATTTGTGTCAACTGACTAGTGCTTAGATGTCAGGATTATCAGTGATGTTTAATATAAACATTTTTTCCTCTTTCATTTTTATTCTAGTTTCTGTTTTTAATCTAGTACCAATTATTTTTTGAGTATGTGCAAAAGCTCTCTAATTTTTGCAATCAAAATTTTATATCTTTTATGATCAAAGCCCCTGATTCTTCAGATGAAGGGCAAACATCTCAGAAGATAGTATATTATACAGAGCTTCATAGAGAAAGATCTGGATGCAGGGTCCTAGATTTATAACAGGTCAGTTCCAATTTAGTCAGAAGATTACAGAACCTTGGACTGGGACAGGCTACCTGTGCCAGCCTAGACTAGCAGGCATCATGCTAAGAAGCAGTACCCTAAAAAACAATGAAATTTAGAAAAGAAATATCTATAATGAAAGTAAACATTGCTCACTTACTGAGTATCTCCCTGACGGATCATGTCACAGATCTGAAGGATAGACTCCCAATCTGTCTCTAGCAGGAGCTGACTGGTAGCTTTGTCTGCAAGGAAAAAATGCACCCATTAAATGAATTCACTCTAATTTACTGGAACCTAATCAAGTGCCAGATCATTTACCTCAACTAAAGCTAGTCACAAAATCAGAAAATTCATTCTGCCTTATTTTAATAATTTTTAACAACTTCAACAAAGGCCCAAATCTTACAACAGTCCTAAAAAAAGAGAAAGTATTATTCCCCGTTTCACAGAGAAAAAAAATGTACAAAGAGTAAGGAAATAATTTGCTCAAGGAAGATAATTTAGTCATCTTAAACCTTTGGGCTATTGTCTAATTTACTCAATTAGAACATAAGTGGTCTTAAGACCATAAGAAATGATATCACAAATTCCTGATTGTTTAATCTAGTCTTTGCGAATGGCACAGACATTAATCTCACATTATGTGATTTATAACCTAATATTTCTATTAGGAGAGTATCATTTTTTCTGAGGATACATAAGGTAATATAATAAACCTTTCTCATTTTCAGTATTGACTAGGTAGTTAACACGCAAGGTACATTTTGAAAGAAGGAAAATGTTGGTCAGCCACCTAAAAGCAGAATCCCTTTAAATGGTTCACGTAACTTGCTAGCCCCTCCACTGTTTTCTTGATACAATTTAGCTTATATATGTGAATTCTAAGAAAGGTGCATAATCTCCCCTAAAATGGTATGCAAAACAAAAGAAATAACTCTGTCATGTGGCTGTTGGTTAGAAGCAATTAACTCTACCCAAAAAAAGACCTCTAATTCTGTCTAAGCAGGAGACACTACATTGTTTACTAGGATCACAGGAACAAAATCTTTGAGCTAGGTTATTTTGAGCTCAAATATTATATAGTCCAACCACTTCATTTTTAACAGATGAGGAAACTGAGGCCCAGAGAGGTTAGGTAACTTGCCCAAGGTCACACAGGTAGTAGCAGAACTACTGAACCCAGGTCCTCTAACTCTCCAAATCCAATGTTTGTTTTTTTACTTTATCAGAGCTGAGCCATTCTCTAAGAAAACATACACAAATATGCCTACACAGCCCATTCTTGCACCTGAAAACTTAAGATTGTGTGCTCCTAAATTATAAAGCAAATGGGCTAAGTTGAATTCCTCTTATTCAAAGAGAGGAAATACCTCTCTCCCTTCTCCATTTAGGTGAGAAGTCAGAAGGTTTCCTGGGAGTGTACTCCCAGTCTGTTATGCAAAGGTTAGGGAGAGCTCAGACTAAAAAGGTTATTTTGTTTTCTGAAGATGGCGGCACTAGAGAGCCCTGGCAGATCCCAGGAAGAAAACTGGTTCCACTGCTTGAGAGGACCAGAACTAAGAATTTCATCAGAATCTAGACCTCTAGTGCAAACTATATTTTCCTGTGAAACAATATTCTTCGTATCTGACTTAGTCACCAACCCTTCCGATGAAGGAATTCTGACTCGAGGTCCGACCTGTCCAACCTGTCAGATGCTAGTTCTTTAAGTAAGGGGGCTATTTTTCCTGAGGGACAGGTGCAAACTACCTAAGAGGCAGGGTGCAGAATCGCTTATTCATCAATGCTAGTACTTCCTTCTTTGAGTGACCACTTATAGCCACATTTTCCTAAGTTTCTGGCAATTAATTCTCACAAGACTCCTAACAATAATTGATGCTTTAAAGCTACCCATGTGAAACTGATCCTAAAGGGTGTATACAAGCCTTAACCAAATTCCAGAGGAGGAAAATTAGAGAAGAGGCTAAGGTCCCTGCAAGAGGAGACGACAGAAAACGAGGGGTCCTCAGTCCCCCCATACCAATCCCCAACAATGCCTGGCGGCACTGACGCCGCCGCCCCCTCCAGCACCCCGGGCACCAGCCCATGGGAAAGGGGGAAGACAGGCGGAGGGCAGAGACCAGCAGTGGGTAGGGGTGGGTGTGGGGATGGTAGAGAACGCCAAGGGAGGGAGAAGGGTAGGGCCGCCCCCACCCCACGCGTGACCCCACCCTCTGGTCTCTCCACCTCCCCCCAGGGGCCCGACTGACTCAGCGCCCCGGGGTCGAAGAAGGCTGGAAGAGGAGCCGGGGCGCGAGGCCCCCCAGACTGTACGAGGCAGGCCGCGCCGGCCCCAGATCGGCGCTGGACGCGAGGGGGGTGGGGGAAGGCTGTCCGTAGGGGGCACGTTACCTAGGAGACGCTCGAAGTGCCGCTACCTCTCCCCATGGCGACCTCAGACCCAACCCCGCAGCCACTGACGCTGCCCAACTCGGAGCAGGCGCGCCCCCCGGCTTCCGCTTCCGCCTTGGGCTGTTTCCACAGGAGCGCGCACGTCACGGAGAGAGTTGACCGACAGACAGACCGACGGCGACAGATCGCGGCGAAGACACTGGAATCTCGGGAACGGGAGCTTCCGGGGATTGAGGAGTGAGAGGAGACGTTCTACCGAAGAAAAACGAGAAGCTCGCCGATTGGTCACCCCACCACGATGGTCGGTGGTGGGGGCCAATTAGCGGTCGGAAGAGAGAAACACTCGTCCAATGAGAGTGTTCGGGGCGGGGCGGGAGCGTAGGGTACTTTGTCACTACGGCGACCCGGGTGGGCCGAAACGTCCGGTCCAGGCATGTGTCTCCTTTTGGGTGCCACTGGAGTCGGGAAGACTCTGCTATGAAGCGGCTACAGAATATCCTTATCGAGCGGCCGGGACGGAGGGAGGGGGAGCCAAAGATGAGGCGGGGCTCGGGCGATGCCCCGGACCCCGTGGGGCCTCGGGGCGTCTCCGCCGCCCACCCCTCCCAGCTCCACCCTCTCCTATTCTTCCTTAATGCGACCCGCACAGCTGAGCTCCCGGAACGGGAAAAGTGACCTTGGTGACCCACCCCCCACCCAGCCCACGGTAGGTGGTCAGCCCGCCTGGAAGGGACCTTACTTAGGTGTCGTGGTGGAAAGAGCGCTGGACCTGGATCCAGGAAGACAGACCTGACTCAGACACCAAGCTGTGTGACCCTGGGCAAGTCACTTAAAAAAAAAAACCTGTCTGCCTCAGTTTCGTCATTTCTAAAATGGGAATGATAACAGCACCTACCTCCCAAAGTGGTTGTGAGGATCAATGAATTTTGCACGATCCAAATGCCCCGTGTTTTTATTAGAAATCACCAATCAGCAAGGATTTATTAAGTACCTACTATTTGCCAAGCGCTTTGCTATACACTGCTAATAAAAATACATGGAATGAAACAATCCCTATTAACAAGAAGCTCACCTAGTAGGAGATATAAGGAAGATACATAGAGATATCCAGCCACATATTTACACATACATTTATGTTTATGTATATGTATATGTGTGTTAATGAACATGTATTGTGCACGTGCATGTATGCTTGTACCTATACATGCATGTGGATATGCATATTGTACATACACCCCAGAAATGTCTCCTGTACCTATACATGCATATATATATATGTACATAATGTGTGTATGCATATACATACGTGAATTTGTATCACGTACACATATGCAAACTGTACATGTACTTTGTGTGTATGTATACATATATGTTTATGAATGTGACTGTATATACATACGTAAATATATAGTTGTATCTATCCATACATTTATATATATAAGCATATGGAGAATAAAAACGAATAAAGTAGTTTGAGGTGTATGTGAGCAGTTGAGGAAATCAGGAAAGTTGCATGTTGAAAGGCACCTAGGTGGAGCAAATCCAGGAAGATTTATCTTCCTGAGTTCAAATCTGGCCTGGGACACTTACTAGCGGTGTAACCCTGGGCAAGTCATAACCCTGTTTGTCTCAGTTCCTCATCTGTAAAATGAGCTTGAGAAGGAAATGGCAAACCACTCCAGTATCCTTGCCAGGAAAATCCCCAAAGTGAGTCACAACTGAAAAATGACTGGACAACAGAAAGTGGTATTGGAACTGAGTGTTGAAGGATTGTGTGAGATGGAGGTGAGCAAGGAGTGTATTCTAGTCATGGGAACAGCCCATGGAGATCCAAGATGGAATGTTGTATGTGTGAAGAACAAAAAGGCCAGCTTAGCAGTTATGCAGAGTGTGAGAATAATGTCCGTTGAGATTGGAAAGATAGGTTGGGGGCAGATTGTCAAGGATTTTAAAAGGTAAACCGATTAGCACAATGACCAACCTTGATTCCACAGGAAAGATGATGAAGCAAGCTACCCACCTTCTGACAGAGAGGTAAATGGACTCAAGGTATAAAATTATATATATTTTGTGGACACCACCTAATGTGGGAATTTGTTTTGCTTGACTGCAGAAGGTTTTGCTTATGTTCTGTTTTTTCAGTGAGGGTTGATGGAAAATAATATAGATTTTTGTTAATTGAAAAAATAATTGTTTTAAAAAGATATGCAGATTTTATCCTACAAGCAATAGGGAGCCACTATAGTCCATTGAGTAGGAGAATAACAAGGTCAGATCTGCACTTAAGGAAAATCATTTTGGAGCAGTGTAGAGGATGGATTGAAATGGGGAGGGGGTGTAGAGGAAGGCTGTTGCAGTAATCTAGGCAAGAGGTGATAAGGGCATGAACTAAGATGTAAGCTCTGTGAGTAAAAAGAAGCAGTTGGTTGTGAGAAATGTGTAAGTAAAAAAAAAGGGAGTGGAGTGGGGCAAGATTTGGTGATTAATTGGATATGGGGTATGAGGGAGAGTGAGGAGTTGAGGTAACACCAAGTTTGTGAACCTGAAAGGCTGAAAGTGTGATATCACCATATTTCCCATACTGAAATTTGTAGGAAGGGTGGGTTTGCTGGGAAAAAATGGCAGGCTGAATTTGAGGTATTTCTGGGACATCTAGTTTGAATGTCAGCTAGGCAATTGGTGATCAGGGAGTAAAGCTCAGGGATGCAAATAGGACTGGATTGTAGATCTAGGAGTAACAATAGTAATAATAATAACTAACATTTACATGTTCTGTTGTGCCAGGCACTTTACAGAAATTGTCTCATTTGATCAAGTGTCTGAAGCCAGATTTGAATTCAGGTCTTCCTGTCTCTAGGTCCAGCACTCTGTTACACCATCTAGCTGCCTCTGTCTTCATGGAGATGACAATTAAACCCATGGAAGCTGGTGAGGTCACTGTGTGAGAGTGTACAAAGAGAGAGAAGTAGAGAACCTAGAACAGAGACTTAGGGACACCTACAGTTAGGGAGCATGATAAGGATGATGAGCTAGCAGAGGGCACTGAAGTGCTCAGGGGACAGGAACCATGTCTGTTTAGTTTCTGTCCTAGTGTCACATGGAGTCGAACATTTGAAAATGATTTGCTTTCCCCCCCATTTGCATTGAGTTTTTTTTTCCTTCCACAGGTGGGTACTGATCTCACTGACATCATGGCTCAGAGAAAGATAACTATCCGGGAACTTGGGGGATGCATGGGCCCCATCTGGTCCAGTTACTATGGAGATTGCCGCTCTGTGCTGGTGGGTCACAGTCTGTTAGACTTCCTTTAGGGAAGTGTGTCCTACTTCTAGTTTCATCTTCGGTCCTGTGTGGAATGGAATTTGATCCTTTGGTGACTCTGGATTAGGCTACAAAGTCTTTGTTAAATTTTCCTTCTCTTGGAAAAATATGATTTTTTCAGTATCTCAAAAGGATTTAGGGCTCAGGCTATGCATGTGTGTATATGTCTGTTTCTCTGTGTGTGTGTATGTATATGTAAATGTATCAAGAAAGTGAGAAGCTGCATGTCTTAGAGAAAGGGAATAGGTAGTCCTGTACCACAGCAGTTCTCAAACTTTTTAGTCTCGGGGTCCTTTTACACTCTTAAAAATTAGTGAGGAACACACCCCCCCAACACACCAAAGAACTTTAGTTTATGTGGGTTATATTTATCAGTGTTAACCATATTAGAAATTAGAATGTCTTAGTATTTTTTATCTCAGGGACCCCTGAAGGTTCTTGGGAATCCCCAGGAGTTCCCAAACCACACCTCTCAGTACCCAAGGCAACTCTGTAAGACTAGAAGTTATAGGTGAGCTGCACATCTTTATGGTAAAAGGAATTTATGTACTTAAGATTGCTCTACACAGATGAAATCATAGGTCTGAGCTTTTTCTTTTAAAAAAAGAAAAAAAAAAGCTTATTGTGACCAGAGTAGAATATTTGGCTCTGGCTCTGTTGACCTGCAGTCTGTAAACTTGGGGGGGGGGTTATTAATTTATTTTGATTTATCAACAATCACTTCCATAAGCTTTTGAGTTTTAAATTTTTCTCCCCTCCCTCCCTCCCTGCCTCCCTCCCCAAGAAGGCATGCAATCAATATAGGCTATACATATATATTCTTATTAAACATATTTTCACATTAGTGATGTTGTAAGTAAGAATTAGAATTAATAGGAGGAACCACCAGAAAGAGGAAACAAAACACAACAGAAGAAAAACAATAACAAATAGTATGCTTTGATCTGCATTCAAACTCCATAGTTCTTTCTCTGGGTGTGGATAGCATTTTCCATCATGAGGCTTTTGGAGATGTCTTCGATCCTTGCATTGCTGAGAAGGGCTAGGTCTATCAACGTTAGTCATTGTATAACATGGCTGTTGCTGTGTACAACGTTCTCCTGGTTCTGCTCACTTCACTCAGCATCAAACCATACAAGTCTCCACACGTTTATCTGAAGTCAGCCTTCATCATTTCTTATAGCACAATAGTATTCCATAACATTAATATATCACATTCACAATTATGATAACTGTGTCTTTCTCTTCATCCTTTCTCCACTCCCCTCCCCCCCTTTATGCTTTTCTTTCTCCTTTCTCCTTTTCCCTCCTCACTAATGTTTTGCTTTTGATCACCATCTCCCTCAGTCCCACCTCCCTTCTATTAGCCCCCTCCGTTTTCTTTCCCCTTTTCCCTCCTACTGCCTATAGGGCATGTTAGATTTCTATACCTAACTGATTATGTTATTCCTTTCTTAAGCCAGATCTGATGAGAGTAAGGTTCAAACAATGCTCATCTCCCTCCCTTCTTTCCCCTCTAACTGTAATAGGTTTTTGTGCTTTTTCCTGTGATGTAATTTACCCTTGTCTGACTCTTCCTTTCCTTTTCTCTCAGTACATTTTCTTAGATCAGATTAATTCACTTACTTGGATCCATTTAACCTTACTTGATTAGATTTTTTTCATCATTATATCAAAGTCAATTTATACCCACCTCCTTTATGTATACCCCTTTTACTTTTTAAAAAATATTTAATATTTGATATAATTTCTTTCCTTTGTAATCCTATGCATCTTATTTTATGTGTTTGAGAACATTATTCTGAGAAGGGGTCCATAGACTTAGCAACCTGACACAGGGTTCCATGACAAAAAAAAGATTAAAAACTCCTGATGAGGGGCAGCTAGATGGCATAATGGATAGAGCACCAGCCCTGGAGTCAAGAGGACCTGAGTTCAAATCTGGCCTCAGACATACAACACTTACTAGTTGGGTGACCCTGGGCAAGTCACAGTTGCCTCACCAAAAAGCAAAAAACCAAACAAAAAAAAAACTCCTGATGAGAGCATCATCAAACCTTTATCACTGCCTTTGTTCAGCCATCTAGGCATGTGTATGTTTGGTGTTCGCATCACATAATGAAGCCAGCCTGACCACTGACCATCTGTGATGGAAACCCAAGGAGTTCTTCAAAGCAAAGAAGCTTCCTGGACCCCTGACCTTTTCTTTGAGCTGTCGCTTTCTGCCTTGAATTATCACAAGCCCACATCTGCTTCTTGAGGATTGGCAGAGGCCCCATGGTCCCCTGTACTTGAGTGTTGTTGACACTAACAGGTTCTCTGTCTTCCCTAGTTCATGATTGATGCTTCTGACCCCACCCAGCTTTCCTTATCCTGTAGTCAGCTCCTGGGCATCCTTTCTGCAGAACAACTAGCTGATGCATCTGTCCTGATCCTCTTCAATAAGATGTAAGGATATTTGGGTGAAGAGAGAAGTTCGGGGCAGATTGCTGTTTGAGAAAGTGTGGGATAGGGTTGTCATTATAGATCAGATGCCTTATTCTCAGGGGTTGATTTTGTTTGTTTGTTTTGGCTACAGTGATATGCCCTGTTACATGACCCTGGAGGAGATGAAGGCCCTAATCAGACTCCCAGATATCATTGCTTGTGCCACGCAGTGCATCACTACAGCAGAAATCAGTGCCCGGGATGGCACTGGTCTGGCAGCTGTGCTGCGCTGGCTCCAAGACACCCATAAAGCCATCAGCTGATTGAGGGGTGAAGAAATATAGGTGACATTTCTTTTTGAGACAGAAGAACAGAGAAGGCGTGGCCTGTAGGGCTTTGTCCTCAGGGCAGAAATGCCCATGCTGAGCCACTAGAAGATGATTAAGGTGGGCCTAAGCTCAACTGACTGAGTTAGCAGGCAAATGGAGGCTGTTTACAAGGCTTGGAAGTCTCTGGTAGCTGAACTGCAAACTGAAGATCTGACCACAGCATTGAGAGGATGTTTTGGACAGCTGGGTCACCCCTTGGAAAAGTCATTTAGTATTCCTAATGCTGCCTTTGGAAGATTATACTACTTCTCGGTCTTTGATTCTCCAGTGTAGTTTGCTGGCCTCTCTCTGGCCCAGATAAGGCAAACATCCCACCTCCATCCCCCTACCTCATCCCACCCCAGAAGCTGAAGCAGCATACAGCCACCTGGATTTGGCTTATTGATAATTATCTGGGCTCTACTTTTCTATTCAAATGTCAGAGGCCTATGTGATGGGTCTGCCATCAGGCAGGTGATATAAATTTTATGGGAGTAAAGCCTAGATTTTTTAATGAAGCATGTATATTTATTTAGCATTTCATGGTTGACTGAGAATCACTGTATAATAAAACTCTTAATAATTTGAGTTCATATTATGCTTTAAGGTTTACAAAGTGCTTTACGTATCTGGGTACATACAAGCTCCTTCAGGATGGGGATTGTTTTTATTATAGTATCCCTAATCCAACAAGTGGTTTGCACAGATAAGATGCTTAATACTGTTTTAAAAAATTGAACGATAGCCCTATATTATTGCCCCCATTTTATATATGAGGCAAACTGAAGTTCAGAAATGTTAAATGATTTGTCCCAGTTTCATAGCTAGCAGTTGTCAGTATTTGAATGCACTGACTTCCACTCCATTACACTTTCTACTACAGCATGCCACCTATACAAACGTCCTCCTTTGTGGAAGACTTAAAAGCTGTGATTCCTAAAATTGGAAATACTCACAGAAATCGCAAGTCCTTCCTATCTTCCCTATACAAAAAAATCTCCCTGGTGTTCAGTGTTAGGAAATTTCTAATCTCCCGAGGCAGTTCATTCAGTTGTTGGGACAGCTCTAACTGTTAAGTACTACTGTTACTTCCTTAAGTTTATCTCTTTAGAACTTTCACCTTCTGGTCCCAGGACTGCTTTCTGGAGCTCTGTGAGATATCTGCACCCTTTCCCACAAAATAGCCCCTGAAAACATTTGAAGCACTTTAACATTCCTGCCACTTGGTCATCCCTCTTTTCCACTTAATCTTCTCATCTTAAAGTTAACTATCAACAAAGGACATTAATAAACATTTAAGCACTTACTAGGTGCCAAGCACTGTGCTAACCACTTTCAAGGTTACACATCCCTCAGGTCTTTGCTGTGACTTGATCTTTCCTGGAGATTTCTTAGGCTAGATACTTAATCCTTTTTGTATGTCAAAGGTTATGGACCAGAGTCTGGTAATAAATTTTCTCTGAATTTTTCCCACCATCTATTGGAAAGTCAAATTCCTTGGGCAATGAAAGGATTTGAGGCATCCCTCAGATCTGTTTCTGCTTCAGTTTGCTCAGAAGCAATTTGCTCGAGGACTTTGCCTCTCTTTATCATTTCCATATGTCCATTCTATTGAAGATAATCTTTATCAAATGGCAAATGATAAATGATACTAGGAAATATTGCCTGGCATTTCTTACAAGGTGATACAGACATATTGCAAGGTCATCCAGTTGGAACAGTAAGCTTTGCTGTACACCCTATCAGGAAGGATCATGGTATGACACTGCTGGGTGTCACCCCTGTGAACAAGCAATGCTAATTATAGTGCACATTTCTTATTGTGCATCCTTCCTTCTAGAAGAGAACCAATGACATCAAGAGGGTGATGACTTGCAAATGAATTGGACTTAAGTGAGGCAGGGCTATGCAAAGTCATCTGCTTCACTCTGTCCTCCAGTCATCAGAGTCCAGTGGCAAGACATAGGTCAGGGCGACTAGGGATGGCCCTGGATGTAGTGGGAGACCTTGGCCTTTTTAAGCCAAGGGCTTTCCCAAGTTTCATTTTGTCTGAGGCAACACTCATTCAGTAAACAAAAGGATAGGCAAGAATTGAGACAAAAGATGGCCTAGTTTGCCTTCATAAAAGAATCAATCAATCACATCTCTTGTTGGTAGGGGCTTTGTAGAAACTCTCATAGGTCAGCTAGGTGGCACAGGGATAGAGTGCCAGACCGGGATTCAGGAAGACTCATCTTCTTCAGTGCAAATCTGGCTTCAGACACTAGCTACGTGACCCTGGGGCAAATCACTTAACCCTGTTTGCCTCAGTATCTTCATCTGTAATGTTAGCTGGAGAAGGAAATGGCAAGCCACTTCAGTATCTTTGCCAAGAAAACCCCAAATGCGGTCACAGAGTCAGACAACTGAACAAGAAACTCTCATGGACAGCAAAGTAGTTTTCAGGAAGTTTCTGATTGTAGAACACAGTCCCTAGAGCATTTCTCTGAATACTAGAGAAACATCAAGCATATTGTCCTTCCCTCCAAGCTAAGCATTAAGGTAGATGAAAAGTTAGGCAATCTGAGAGCTCAATCAGTCTTCAGTAAGCAAAGTTCTCACACGGCCCTTCTCCTGTTTCATGGTCTGGCCTGATTTGATCATTCTTTGGGGCTTCATTGCAACTATTCTTTGTCAAAGCCTTTGGAGGAAGCAGGGGTAAGTATTTGATAGGGTCAGAGAGGGCCAAGGTCTAAGATACTCAGTAAGGTTTTTTATTTCATAGGGTTCAGATCAGTAATTCTGGACCCTTATGATTCACAATTCCTAACCATTATGGGCCCATGGACAGCACAAGATAGTCCACAAAAATTTTTACAAAGTAATCTTACACCAAGAAATTCAAGAATGACTCCTCTGTCCTGTTGTGCTAACACTATTCCAAGGGCTTATTGGCTGCTAAAATCTGAGAGAGTCCCTGCTTGGTAAGGAGCTCTGACTCGCATCACTTTCTAAACCCTAAGTCAGGGATGGCGAGCCCACCAGTGAATTTGGAGAAATGTTGGCCATCATGCTAAACTGTACTTTTTGTACTTTGCCAAGTGAGGAGGAGAAGGGAGAAGCAGCAGTGATCAACCATACCCAAAAATCAAAATCATGGAAATTTGGCTGTCCTACTTTGTGGAGTAATTTTGAAACTGTTCCTAAACCTCAGTGTCCTTTAATAATTTAATTTTGTGATTTAATAATTCCCAGGCATACAGTACGTATTAGGTTTAATGCAAATCACATAATAAAATACTTTCTTTGCCAGAGGATTTTCAATAGAGGGTGTGAATAAATCTAAGGCAGGAAGTAACTGTTTGTTCCCATTTGGAACAAGGTATAGGGCAGAGGTGGGGAACCTTTGGCCTCAAGCCACATGTGGCCCTCTAGGTCCTCAAGTGCAGCCCTTTGACTGAATCCAAACTTCACAGAACAAATCCTGTTAATAAAAGGATTTGTTCTATAAAACTTGGACTCAATCAAAAGGCTGCACCCGAGGACCTAGAGGGACACATGTGGCCTCGAGGCCACAGGTTCCCTGCCCCTGGATAGGGTATGTAGATTCAAGAAGGGTGGACTGAGTTATCTGGTTGAGTATACAGTTTCATATTCTGCAAATGAAGCTGGGCAATTTTTCTTAATTTAGAATATGTGTCTTCCTTGAAGAAATTCTCAGGTCGAACAAGATAGTCTAATGTGTCCAAAGAAGAATATGGAATATAGCACCTGAAGCAAAGAAATGCACGGAGCCACTTAGCTATAACCAGCAGCTTAGATAGCTTAGGGCTAGAGATGGGTGTCAAAAAGACTATTTGCCTCAAGATGTCTGTGGTTATTCCTTTATAAACTCACTTTATCAGCGATAATGAGGTGATACAGTAATAATTAAGGTAAGTGAATTTCATTATTAAATGAAATATTTAAAATTTGTGAAACCTATGATCTTGTAACAAAAAAAATCTATTTTCAGAGGCTTCAAAATTCCTCAGTCATGTCAATATTTTCATTGTCTTGTCAATTCTAGTACCACAATATAGCTCATCATTCTTTCCTTTCCCACTGTAATCACCCAATGTAAACTTTAATCTCATTTTACCTAGACAATACACCGCTATAATAGCATCCTAATTGGTTTTCTTGTGTCTGTTCTGTCCCTTTTCTAATCCATACTTCATGTATCCATCCTGCACGTACCACTCAACACATTAAAAATGTGATACTTAAATATCCTTCATGGCTCTCTGTTGCCTATTGGATAAAGTATAAACTACTGATGCTAGCAATCAAGATCCTAAATAATCTGACTGCAATTTACCTATCTGCCATTTTTATCCTGCTCTTACCACAGTAACCCACACTTCACTCTCCATACCTAGGAAAATCCTTGAGTAAGAGTGAACCTTACTAGGAGTGGTTGACTCACTAAGATTAGAGTCCTGTGTTTTATCTATCTTCATATTTGTAGCACCTAGCAGGCAAGTCAATCTGTTTGCTGTCCTCTCAATTTGCTCATTTCTGCTTTTATATCTTTTCCCATGCCATTCTTCTACTTAGAACGTGCTCCACTCTTCTGATAACCCATGTTCATCACTGGCTTCAAGACTATCTTCTCCAAGAAGCTTTCTTTAAATTAATTTCAACCTACGCTCATTACTTCTTTATCCTCAGCATTTAATCATTTAATGTATATTAGATCATTTTGAACTTAGTCTATTGTTTTATAATTATTCTCTTATCCTTCAAAGATATATCCCTTATTTAAAACTAGATGATAAGTTCCTTTAGGGCAGGGATTTTCTGTTTGATCGGCCAATAAATCTCTATATGGTAAGTACTCAATAAATGTTAGTTTAACTTTGGTAATTCCATAAAAAATGCATTCTGCTTAGGCAAGTGGACAATTTAAAGAGGTGAACAGCTTCACTGATTTCATCATAATCTCCCAACCCTCATTTTAGCCAATTGTTTCAAACTCCTTCAAGGCTGTTTTTGAGTTGCTAACAGAAAGTAAAATTGAAATATTTTAGTTTCATCTCCTTTCAGTTCCTTAAAACGGGCTCTGATGGAAGTTCCAATAGCTAGGAAATATCCAAAGGCAGGCAAGAAGAGGACAAGAAATAAAGCACTTGATTGAATCAATCAATAATATTCTTTAGGTAGTGTGCTAAGCTCTAGGGGTATAAAAAGAGGCTAAAGATAGCCCTGCCCTCAGGGAGCTTACCTAATGAAGGAAACAACATACAAATATATGCAAACTATATACAGGATAAATGGGAAATAGTTAACAGAAGGAAATGACTAGAATTAAGAGGGATTAGGAAGAGTACTTATTGGGGAGTAAGAGAACTAGAAAGGTAGGAAGAGGGTAGGTTATAAAGGCTTTGAACACCAAACAGAGCATTTTGTATTTGATTCTGGACATGATAGGAAGCCACTAGAGTTTATTGAGTAAGGGGTGACATGATCTGACCTGTATTTTAGGAATGTGAATGGAGGATGGATAGGAACGGGAGAGAATTGGAGCAGGCAGCCCTAACAGGAGGCTATTACAATAGTCCAAGTGTGAGAT